GGTAACGGCGTCAAATGTATTGGCGTCAAATGGCAATGCTTCGCTATCGCCGGTATGCAGGCTGATCTGCTGATCCAGGGAAAGTTCTTTTAGTTTCTTGCGGCCCACTTCCAGCATGCCTTCCGAAATATCTACGCCGGTGATGGTAGCTTCCGGGATGGCCTTTGCAGCGGCAATGGCCAGGTCGCCGGTGCCGGTAGCTACATCCAGTATCTGGCGGGGTTGTATCGCGGCCACTTCACGGATCGCCTTTTTGCGCCACCCTTTATCAATGCCCATGGATAAAAAATGGTTGAGAAAATCATAATGCCCGGCGATGCCGTCAAACATTTCTGCAACCTGTTCTTTCTTGCTTAATCCTGATGAGGCATCCGGTAAAACCTGGCTAGCTTTTTCTTCCATATTGTCCGCTGTAAAGTGCGGCAAAAATACGTTACCGGCAGCAATAAGCCGGAGAATATTACGTGCTTTCGCCATTACTTATAAGTGACCCGTAGCGCTGCTAAACCATGAAATTCCTTACTCCATTTTCTTTGAGTTATTTTTGCCCTTCATTCAACCTTACCGGGTGTTCATCCGGGCAGCCTGAACCGACTCTTCTATGCAGATACGAAAATCAGAATACATTATTTCCAGCCCTAAACTTGAAAATTGCCCGGAGCCGGACCGGCCCGAGTATGCCTTTATCGGTCGCTCTAATGTAGGTAAGTCTTCTGTTATTAATATGATCACCGGCAATGCGAAGCTGGCCAAAACCAGTTCCACCCCGGGTAAAACACAGATGATCAATCACTTTGGCATTACCAGCGCTCCGGATAGTGAGGTGGGAGAAAAATATTCTCCCAATATCCAGAAATGGTACCTCGTGGATCTTCCGGGTTATGGGTATGCCAAGGTATCCCAGAACCAACGCGCCAACTGGAAAAAAATGATTGCAGATTACCTGCAGAAACGCCCTAACCTGGTTACCATCTTTGTATTGATCGATAGCCGGCACTCCCCCCAGGCAAAAGACCTGGAGTTTTTAGATCAGCTGGGCCAATGGCAGGTTCCCTTTAACCTGATCTTTACCAAGTCTGATAAAAGCACACAACGGGTAACTGCCCATAATGTACGCACGTTTGTCACCAAAATGAAGGAAGACTGGGAGTTTATCCCCCGGACCTTTGTAACCAGTACCGTTAAGGGAACCGGTAAGAGAGAGATCCTTAATCATATTGAAGAATTAAATGAAAATTTCTGGAGTCAGGAATCCGATGGATTGATGTAAGCACCATTTGCAATAAGTATATTTACGATGTACTCCTTACACAGGCAGTTTGATTGTCTGCCTCCTGCTTGAACCTTAAAGAGGAACCCTTCAAAAGGTTCCTCTTTTATTTGATAACAGCGCTGGATTTGCAATCCAGCGCAATCTGGGTGCGGATTTGCAATCCGCTTTTCATTTAATGTCGTTGGTGGGCGGCTACGCCTCCATATCAACAACGTCGATATTTATTCCCACGACTGCTCAAT